ATTTGTTACTGTGGGTGTTTAAAAAGAAAAAACTTTAAATGGCAATGCAATAAAACTGTGGACAGTGTTTTGTGATTTTCTCAAGAAAACATGTTGAAGCTTTCTTACTTTCCCTTTGTTGTTTGTTATCTTACTCAGATTGTGCACACTGTAAAACCTTTTAGAATTCAGAGACTGCTACATTTTGTAAAATCTCCTGCAGTAAGATTTTTATACACGAAACCACAGGATAATTATTTTGAAATCTGCAATATATTAACCTGATGAGGCCGGAAAGTATATTCAGAAAAATGCATTATCAAGGGCAAATTATACAATTCTGATGCTTATCACACACCCACACACACACACACACACACACACACACACACACACACAGTGTGAACAGAGGTCAGTTGCATGTAGTGCTCCTCTACATGGGTCAGAGTCATGTGTCTACAGGGGTCCATTCTGAGGTCAATACTAAAACACTGTAAACTAATGATCCAGCAAATTCCCTCAGTCCTGCTCTCTCCCTTCCTTTCGTTCCCTCAATCTGTTGTTGTCCTCCATTTCTGATCCCCTGCTGTGCTGCAGAAATGAGAAACAAGTGAAGCCTCGGCAATGCTGAGCCCGCTTTGCCTCTCTGATACACACCACTGATAAAAAGGGCTGCTTGTTAAAAGACAAATGAAACACTGCCTTGGCGGATTTTTGGCTTGATGTTTTCTTGTCAGCATGTCCTTTCTATTGTTATTGCATTTGCATTAATGCTAATATAATAACATCAATCCTACCTAAAAACAGATTAACTAACTTGGATGTCCAACTGAAATGTGCTGGCAACACTTAAATCTAGAAGTTAAAAAAACATGAGCAAGAAAGATCGCTAGACTATCAAGGACACCACACAAGGACAGTTTCTCATCATGTTTGTTTTAGAATAAATCCAGTACTTTCAACAAATTGTAAGTGGTTGGTTAAACTTGAACACCTGAGTGACACCACTGTAGACACTGTAGTCCATTTACAAACAAACCAAACACATTATTTTCTGTGGCTGATTTGATTATACTCATTTTTAAATGTTTCATTTTAATCACACAAAGTCAGGTAAATGTGAAATCTCACCAAATGTCAAAAAAGTATGAATCTTTAATTAAAATTATTGGCTATTAAATGTTATGGTATATGATGTGTTGCAAGACATTGGTTCGGAAGTTATTTAGAGAATAGGTTACAATATCTAAAAATTCACGATACTGAATCTCACTTTAGAAAAGTAACTTGTGGTGTACCACAAGGAAAGGTGTTGGGTCCTAAGTTATTCATACTTGATGAAAATGTTATTTTTTAGAGTTTCTAATTTATTGAAATGTGTTACATTTGCTGATGATCAATTGATTTTACTCTGCAGAGGACATGAGGAAATTATCTGAAAATAGTAAAAGCAGAACTGAGAAAGTTAAAAACTGGTTTGAAATGAATAAGTAATCACTAAATGATGATAAAAAGTTGAAATAGATAAAGTATATGAAAATGCTTTTTTAAGGGGTGATCATAGATTGTAAACTTTGTTGGAAGCCGCACATAGAATACATCGAACAAAAAGTATCAAAATCTATTGCCATTCTTCACAAAATAAAGGACCTATTAAGAAGTGCCTACATATTGCTCACTCATTATGTCATATATGACATACTGTGTTAAATTCTGGGGAATATAAAACAATCCCATAATTATCTCCAGAAAAGAGATGTTAAAGTAATAAATAAAAGGTGGTTACTATGAATGGACTTGTCCATTATTTAGTTTTAGACATTGTGTATTTAAAATATTGGAAATACTTTGTTGAGCTTTGCTTTGAGTCTTCCTGTTGGTACCCAACATTTTTTTAATTAAGAGAAGGACATAATGATCTAAGAGGGTTGTGTTTTTTCTAAACACTTAAAGCAGATGTAAAAATAGATAATTTTTTAGGTTTAAAAAAAAAGGACAGGCAGAAATAAGCTATGGGCTTCAGTCTATTTCTTTTTTGGTCAATGATTATTTGAATTTTATTGTGTGAAATGGACCAGTGTAAACATGTACAGTGGTGTTATTTTGTTTCTGGAATATTCACACACTTTTTACTCTACTTGTTTTTTTTTAATAAATGGCCAAAATAAAATTGTCATTCATAAGTAAGATCAAGTTTTTCACATCTTTACAAAAAGTTTTAAAAAGGGTTTCCTTCACAGCAGGTCATCTACTTATATGCCATGTTTGCTGCATGTCTGAAAAATGCAAAGTAAAGTCTCCTTGTCAAAGGAGAACCACTCTTCTCTGCAAACTGTGAGGGGGATTCTGAAAAACACTTCACAGAATAAGAATCGTCGCCAACAGAAGAGCTTATACATGCATAAACACACACAAACTCTTCCATGTGAATACACAGAGTATCCTCTAGATATGGAAGAAGATTTCCATGTTTGCCTCTGTCAGTACATGCAACAGTATAAAGCAGTTTGACAGCCACAGT